CCAAAATACTAATTACCTATATGAATGTTTTGTCATAATTTATCTTTAATTATAGCTTTTAACCTTAAATATGTTTTTCCTCATTTCGTTTTTATCACTATTTGTTCACTATTTCACTATTCACTATTTCGTTGGGGGACATTATTTCAACTCATTAAAAAAAAATCGTTATATTCATAAATTATTATTTGTATAGTTTTCAGAAAAGTGTTGAAGGTACAGACTTGGCTTTGTGATAAAACGAAAGTCAATAGAATTTACTACAAAAGCAGTTTTTAAGAGTTCTGCCATAACATGGGTATTACACAATTTTTGTGGTTCCAACCCAGGAAAAATGTAAATTGTGGTAATTACTTTAACAAATTTGTAATATTTAAAAAATCATTGCTCAAAAACTATTTGACACTCAAAAATGAAACTATGCTTAAATTGTTGGAAATTTTATGTACTTTAATTATTACATTTGAGTAGTATTAAGAAAAATGCACTGTTAATAAGTTATAGACAAAATCTTAAAAAAATACATTAATTTTTTAATATTTTACTTATTACGCAGGGAGCACAGGGATCTCGAAGCTGCAAACTTGGTTTTGAGTTACCATAACTGGTCCCAACAACATATTAAAAATTCAGCAATACATCACACTTTGCGATTTTATTGTCCAATTTGACTGGCCTATTTGTGTTGTTTTGAGTAATTAATAAAGTTAGGTTTTGTAAGCGAGTGCTGAGTTTCATTCCTGAGCTACGTCACCCAAAGTAACGGTAGGTATTCCAAGAGGAATACGACCGTTACACTCCCGTGATTAAAGTGATGTTGGTGAAATATCAGGGAATAGATAGAATGCAACAACTGAATGTAAACTGGTCAACAACTATAAACAAACTCATAACAATATACAAATATAACATTAACCATATGTTATAACAAATTAGGCAGGCAATGTGAATATTATGAAAGTTCGACATTACAACATAAAGTGCAGTCCGTGTGTGGTGAAATGACCTCTATGTACAAACAAGGGTACAAATGTCGCATTGCTATGTTTAGAACTTACTGGCAAGTTGTTGGTTTACATTGACTATAACATTGCTTAAGAGTGGCAAGTCATATCTAATGGGCATAGCCATCACAAGTATTTGAGGCTTAACATCATCTCTCTAATTTACCTTTTGTTTTGTAGAGGTGCCTTTAGCTCTTGTTGTTCTAAGTTTATATCACTAATGCGCATTTCGCTACAGGTTGTAGCATCTTCAGAGTTACACTTACACTAAACTACATCTCACTAATATATACAAAGTTTGTGAGTTACTGTACAGTTTATTCATTACATCACTGACGTTGGTTGTACTCGCACTCGCAACACGGTAGTGGCAGGCGCGGGTCGAAATCGCGGGAGACTTGCTTCCAGGTCATCTTGAAAAGTTACACTGACGTTGTTAGGGGTGTTGGTGATGGTTGACTGGGGTGTGGGTTCCCGGAATTGTTGTGTCTGCAATGTTGCCTATTTTCTGCGGTGTTGCCATATCGGTGAGATAGTTTCTATTTCGTGTATAGTTTTAAAGATAATGGAATTGTTAAAGGCTTCTTTTACATTATGCAGGTTGTCAGATCCAGATTCGGTTATATGTTTATAAATTTGGTAGCTTTCCTGTACTTTGGCTGTGATTTTAGAGTGAGTTTGTTTTAAGATTGTGAGGGATTTGGGGAAAGATATTGAGTGGGTGGGGGTTTTTTTTTTGAGATGTTTAAAATTGCTACTATTGAGGTGGGATTTTTGTAGTAGCTAGTGTTGTGCTCTTTAAAACGTTGGGAAAAAGACCTGTTTGTGTAGCCAATATTGTTTAGTACAAGGGGGATTGCAGGTTATTTTGTTTACTCCTCTGACCTTTTCTATTTGGCGGGTCTCTTTGCTTCTGTCATTGTGTTGTAGGAGTGTTCTTAACTTGGTATGCTAGTGTGTAGCCGTTTTTCTTGAATGCTATGCCGATTTTAGCGAATTTCCCATATAGGGAATAAGCTATTACCTTAGTACTCATGGTAAGACCTGGACCCGGGACCGATTTACTTTTTCGTTTTGAGGTCCCTAGAGGCCAAAAACACCATCCGTTCAAATTAATAATATATATATATATATATATACATATACTAGCTGTGTGCCCGTTCTACGCACGGGGATCTTATAGTATTCAGTTGAAACCTTCATATAGGAAGAACAGCAGTTGGTTTGCATATTTTCAGATATGTTGGCAAAACTATTACCACCTTCGCAAATACAGTATCTGACAGTTTCAAGCCAAAACAAACTCAATTAAATGTCACCCGGATCGTGTTGGTCCATATGTTAAATCCAATGATTAAACTAAAATATGCATTTTATAGATCTATGAGGCATATCCCTAAGGTAGGCCTATAATTGAAAGTTACTTTCCACAATGGTTAAAAGTATTTAAAGTACTACCTGAACATCGCAATTTAACACTTTATTCTGGTTGACATTTTTTATCATCAAAGGTGCTCTTGTCCTTTCCGTGAAACACTGAGAAATAAGGACATTAATGCGTTACCAACAGACATACACACAAAAATACAGAACTTAATTAGGGAATTTGCTAAGCATAACAAACTACATATTAGTATTTGAAATCTTTGTTAATGTCATAAAATTTATCATAACAATTTATATTTGCTTAGTTCGGACATGACCCGAAATGCTGTCGAAATGACGGCTTACTATATGAAATGAAGTACTATAGACGATTTAGATTGGTAATTTATAATACGTACCCAAGAGATGGGCTATGGGCCTATTGGCTGTAGGTCCAGCTATTGCATCACACGGTGAGTAGGAACAGAAAGTGACACAGTCATTGGAAAAACGAGTTTATCATCATCCGTAAACCTCTGTTACAATCACCCACTGCAGTTGTGATTTTTTACTTTACACAACCGCCATCGAAGCGCCGTCAATGGGTGGAAACCTTGTTTGTAAGCTATTGGCGAAGATCATTAATAAATTCCAGTTTCCCAGCCCTATACAACACTGATTCAAGGTCTTCTTTCTGGTTATCAAAACTCAAGAACAAATTTATACACAAAGAATCTCTGCTTACTGACCTGGATGATGCCTAGTTATTTAATTTCATTTACGGTTACACTTTACACTATATTATTCCACTTGCGACTAATTAAACCCGTTATGTAAGAAAAACTTTTTTAATCTCACTTGGTTGATTTGCCTTCAAAACATGATCGGAAATAGTTGCGGTATTTGTAAACAACATTTGTAAACATATCAATGACATTTAGAAAAATAATCTTGATCTGAACAGCTGTTCGTTATTTCATAGATCATTATGTGATAAAAATTGGACGAAAACTTGACAAAAATCGCACAAAACTGCATTTTTGAACGTCCGTAATTTTATTTACTAAGTAGTGAGGCCATATTTTAATGGCTAAACACACTCTCACCAATCCAGTGAATATATTAAAATGACTTGGATCTTGATAGGTACTCTCGTTTTCCTGGAGAAGATTGCGTAAAATGCCATGAGTGTTACAGACAGACAGAAAATTCAAAAAAATTGTAAATTTAAAATTCCCATGTTATTCTTAAGGAGAATAAGTCAACTGTTGTAGTTTGCTTGTTTATGAACATATTTTGATAGAATATGTAAAATACATTCATTTCTTACTAAACTATTAACATTTTACAACAAAAAACACCTTTTGACCCTCCCTGTTGCAGCAAACCTAAGTACTCGTTAAACTATAATTCTATTTAAATAGGGAATAAATGTGATATTTTTACGAGGCATTTTAGTGTAAATCCAATCATGCAAATGGAAATTCGCTTAGTCTGCAGGTTTGCTGCGGCGGGGGTATTTTTTTTAAATTTTGTTACTGTAGTGTATTTGATAGGTACATATTTTGGGTTTGGTTCGAGGGTATGAATTGCAGTATTGTTTTCTAGTATATGCTTAATTTTTAAATTTCATTTTGTAAATCATGGGGTCGATTATGGCAGGATTGTATCCATCGTTTTTTGCTATCGTTTTTATTATTCTAATTTCTTGTTCACACTCCTGGTAGTCAAGATTGTAGTTTAAGAGTCTGTAGATAAATTAGCGGAATATGCTGCCATTTTTTTTTTTTGTTATGGGTGATTGGAGTGGGCAGGTATGACCAGGTCTTGGGTGGGTTTTCCAGTGGCGGCGGAACCAGGGGGTCAGGGGGGTCAGTTGACCCCCCTGAAATTTTAGGAAGGGTCAGGGGGGTCAAGGGTCAGGGGTTCATATAAAAAAATTAAAGATATAAAGCATTCCGTAAAGTATACGTTTATTTTTTCGGCCCAAGAAGAAAAGTATAAGTAGGCCTAATAACAGTTACTGAAGATAAGTACAAAGATAAACAATTTAATTTTATTATGAAGGGGTTTAATACTCACAAAACCTTATAAAAGTAATAATTAATTTAATTGATGTTCATGATCGTATTGGATAGTGTTAGTCCTAGAGCCAGTGACTCTGCTCCAGCTTCAACTTCAACACAATCTACGTTTGAAAGAGATGAAGGTAATGAACCATTTCAACCCTTGACTATTAAATACCCAACGAAAGTTATAAGTGGAGTAAATCGATCGTTTAAACCAGAGTGGTATAAAAAATGGTCGTGGTTACACTGGAATTCTGAATCTGAATCAGTAAAATGCTTTGTTTGTATGAAAGCAAAGAAGCTTAACCCAAAGGTTATATCCAAAACGAAAGTAGACGAAGCATTTATTATCAGTGGATTTTCAAATTGGAAAAAAGCTTCTGAGAAGTTTTCTTCTCATGAAAGCAGTGAATGCCATAAAGCGTCAGTTGCATCCATAATGTCCTTCAACCAAACTCCAATTACGGCACAGTTGTCTAATCAAATCAATAATCAGATGATAGCTGCACAAAAAGCCCTTATTAGCATTGTGTCTTCAATTAAGTATTTAGCCAGCCGTACCATGGCACTAAGAGGTCACGGAGACAATGAAGGAAACTTCTATGAACTTTTGCAGTTGAGAGCAAATGACATTCCCGAACTGAAAGAATGGCTTCAAAGAAAAAGAGCGTGGCTTACTCATGACAACCAGAATGAAATCCTGGAGCTCTTGGCCTTAGAGGTGATGCGGAAACTCAATAATAGCATAAAAGAAGATGAATATTTTTCCTTAATAGTAGATGGGACAACAGATGTGTCGACAAAAGAACAAGTTTCCTTATGTATAAGACATGTCAATGGTGACTTTGAGGTATCTGAAGACTTTATTGGTTTATATGAGACATCTTCGACAACTGGGGAAACTCTGACCAAAATAATACAAGATGTACTGTTGAGGTTAGACCTGAACATAGACAACTGTCGTGGACAGTGTTATGATGGGGCTGGAAATATGAAGGGCCACATGAAAGGTACTCAGGTTCGAATAAGTAAAATAGAACCCCGTGCAACATACATACACTGCTTCAATCATGCGTTGAATTTAGCTGTTATCGATGCTACTGGGGCTGTACCTGAATTCGGAAATGTTCTACAAAATGTACATGAACTTGGCAAGTATTTCAATAAATCTGCTAAAAGGACAGATATAATGCTTCACCATAAATCAGATGACAATCTTGCCTTGACTAAAAATACTAAGCTAAAACCTCTATGTCCTACAAGATGGACAGTGAGACTAAAGTCTCTACAAGCTGTTAACTCACAATATGAGACTGTTCTAAGTGCTTTGGAAAGCATCAAAACTGAAGATCCTGATCCTACTGCCAATGGTTTGCATTCATTTTTGAGAAAACTCTCAGACTGTTTCATTTAGAACTCGGTGTTTTGATTTTTGAAATAACAGACGAGCTTGCTAAAAAACTGCAAATAAGTGACATTAGTATAACCTATGCCTTAGCCCAAGTTGACAGAGTTAAACAACGTTTAACAAAGTTGAGAACCGATGAGAAGTTTAACGAACTATGGGAGAAAGTGAAGAAACGAGGGGCAGATATGGATTTACTCCCGGTCACTCTTCCACGTGTTCGAGCGCCTCCAAAACGACTAGAACAGAAAAGTGATGCTTCCCCACCAGTGACGTTCTCCGGTCCAGAGACTTATTTGAGGAAACAGTACTTCGACGTTTTGGACAACTTAAAGTCAGACATTGATTATAGATTTCAACATCCCGGAGTCAAAATATACAAAGACATTGAAACTGTTTTGATGAAAGCAGTAAACGGGAAGACAGAAGAAGTAAAAATTGAAGTGGACAATATATGTGACCATTTTAAAACTGACTTGGACAAGAAAAAGCTTACAAGCCAATTAAACAGTCTACAAGATTTACCAAAAAAGAAGGAAGTTAAAAGTGTACGTGATTTAGTTGTGACTTTAAATAGTGAGCCTCAAGAAAACAAAAGATTTTTGTCTGAAGTAGTAAAGGTTGTCAAGTTACTGCTTGTCTTACCAGCGTCTGCAGCAACTGCAGAAAGAACATTTTCTTGTCTTCGTCGCTTGAAAACGTGGCTGCGTTCCACGATGACGCAGAAGAGATTGAACCATCTTGCCATCTTATCCGTCCATAGGGACATTGCTAAATCTATTGATGATAAGCACATTGCAAGAATGTTTGTCAATAGAGTTGAAAGTCGCTGTGCAGTTTTCGGGAATTTCAAAGACTGAAGTTCAAGTTAGGGCCTACTGAAGTTTCATCAGCAGAAGTTTAAAAATCTAGTAAACTTGTAGTAGGCTAATATCTTGAGATTCTCGTGTGGGATTTTACTTATTTTAGCAATAATTCATCAAAAAGGTTTTGTATTTCTTAGTAATTTTATGTTGTGCCAATACAATGTTTGTAATGTTTTTTGTGTAAACCATTATTTATCCCCAGTGGACACACTTACTTGGTTTTACCCTACCGTCTTACTGGCAAAAATCTGGGCACCAGTACTTCATTTTATGTTTGTTTGAGATGTATGTGTATTATTTATTATAATGTTTTTACAATGAACAGAGTAGCGTCTTTGTTAAATTGTAAATTTTCTTTGTTACTGCTTGAAGAAAAATGTTCTTCAGGTAGCCTAAAAACACGTTTTAAGGCTTTCATTTTTCAAAATTTTCCCGGGGGAGGACCCCCCCTTACCCCCTGGGGGTATTCCATACCCCCCGGATGTGGACCTCCACCATAGGTTTCTGACCCCCTAACAAAAATTTGCTTCCGCCGCCCCTGGGGTTTTCTATATCTTCCAATAGTTACTTTTCCTGTTTTTTTTTAGCGATTGTTAAATCAAGAAACTTTATTAATTTGATTATTTTCTTCTGCTTCCATTTTAAACATAATGTTGTTATGGATTTTGTTTGTTGCAGTTCAGTACAAGGAAAGCATCATCTACATATCTTGCATAAAATTTTATTTTGTTGGAGTATGGGTTTGAGTCTGAGAGGATGTGTTTTTCTTCAAATTCCTGCATGTATAATTCTGCTAATGTAGCGGATAATGGTCTACCCATGGGAAGGCCTTGGGGGTCATTGTAGATTTTTCATCTGTGGGAGAAATAGCTCTGTTTAGTTATTATGGTGGTTATTTTTATTATATGCCATCAATTTCCTCTTCTAAAAAGTTGTTGGATGAGATAAGTATTTTCTTCAGAATTTCTATAGCTTCATTGTGTGGAATCCATACATTATTTACGTCAATTGATGCTAGTGTATGTCTTTCAGGAATGCTTTGTGCTTGGATCTTCTGAATACAATCTTTACTATTTTTGCATGAGATATTGGATGTAGGCAGGTTGTTTTTTATTAGTGCATTGACGTACTTTGATATTTTGTAAGATGGGGCAGGGATTGCGTTTATGACCGGTCTAATTGGGTTTCCTTCTTTGTGTGTTTTTATTATAGGTTTGAATATTGGAGCGGTTGGATTAGCATTGTACAGATATTTGCTTGTGTCTGGGTGTATTATGCAGTTATTTTCACTACCTAACATCTTTGATTATTTTGCCTCATTCGCGGAAGACAATGATCTTTACATATCCGCGGGAGATGATTAACATTTTGCTGCAATCGCGGGAGTCGATTACTATGTCTTAACGACCATGGGGGAAGATATAATGATGTCTTCACGGGCGCAAGGGGTGATCAGAATTTTACCGCCATCGCGCAAAACGAGGATAATGTCCTCACTACCACGAGAAAAGATCAGAATTTTGCCTCATTCACGGTAGACGATGATAATCTCCTCACGACCGTAGGATATGTTCATGCATTGCCTCAATCATGAAAGACGATAATTATGTCTACACAACCTGACCGCGGAAAATATTCAGAATTTTGCCGCAATCACGGGAGACGATTACGATGTCTACACGGCCGCGAGGGATTATCAGAAGTTTACCGTGATCGCACGCAATTAAAGCCACCAATTTTTTTATTTTCCAAATTTTTGGTGCCCCCAAAAAAGCCAATTGCCTCGCGCCCTAGGCACGTGCCTATCGTGCCTATTCAGTAAACCAGCCCTGCCATCAGTAGAGGCAAGAGCAAAAGCGATCTCCAAAACATTTTAATGTTACTCTTTATAACTGCCTAATGTTGACCTGTTGGAAAGGGTCATTACTTAGATTGATGACAAATGACAACTAATTCTAGAAGTGATCTTTATCTGGATCAAACTAGCAGCCTTTGAAATTAAAACCAAGTACTGTACTGTAACCACCCCCAGTTATTTTCTAGTATTATCAATCAGTATTCTTCTACCTGACATCAGCTAAACTTTAGGAAAGGTTGTACAAATGGGGAATATTTTATTTTGACAGAAATAACTACTAATTAAAATTTAAGTCTGATGATTTACTGTCTTTCTCATTATTATATAGTAAATACAAAATTGATTTATTTCTGTTATGAGCAGTTACTGAATGAAAATGAAGAATAGACAGGTTTTAGCTACAGTCAGAGTAAGTCGGCGACCTCCGCTACACAAACCACCGGATCTGTGGAAGATGTTCCTCCAGGATCTCTGTAGCCACCTATCTCTCCACGGACTGCCACACATTGCCAACCAGGAGCGACTTTTGTGTGAGAGGTGCCACACATTATCTCATTTAGTTCTTAAAATAATTAATTTGCTTGGATATAAAAAACAACTACCATACAAAGTATATGATTGAATGAAAATGAAAGTATGTTAACTTGCAAGGTGTCACAAAGGCACATTGTGTCTAAAAGACACAATTCTTTTCCATAAAACATCTTCAATTCCTACAAAACAGATAAATATTCTTCATGTACATCCTTCTAAAACAATATATGATATGTTTGGAGCTAATATAGCTTAGTTTTGGTTGAGTGCTAGTGTATTCACTGTATTCCTGCAAGCGCAACCTCTGGCACATTGAATTTGAATTCAATCCACTAATTTATCTTACAATTTATTTGAAAAACCTTTAAAGGGTGGCATATAGCACAATGCGAGGTTATGATTATATATATCCACATGCAGAGTACCCGTCCTTCGTACGGGGTTGGCATATAAGTATAAAATGCTTATTGCAGTTCAAGGGCGGTCCTAGACATATATTTTTGGGGGGGGGGTCACCGGGTGGCCAGGGGGGTATGGAATACCTGGGTTTTGGAAATAACGTGCTAAAATGAGTGGTTTTTAAGCTATTTTGAGGACCTAGTTTAATGTGTTCAAGCTTCCCAGTTTATTTAAAGGTCAAAGAAATGTCTAAAAATAAACTTGTATAATGTCATGTTTTTGCATTATTGAGACTTGTGGTTTTAATATCAAAGGAATACCGCAAAATTACAACACATTCAAGCATTATATTGATTTACGAAAACACCCTTCCAACTGGTGCCAATGTGCATGCTAAACAGAAAATGTCCAAAATCAGACCAAGATTTCAAAAAAGATAACTTATTTTATCTAAGAAGTGTTTAAGAACTTGCACCAAACACGACTGCATTATACCTGCCTAGTTAGCAACAGTTAACCTATAAAGTACACTACCCAACTAACGTTGCGTCGGCGTCCCGTCACTGCTACCGCCTGAAGAATTGGTTCTCAGTATTCTCATTTTTTTATACGCCAGTGCCAGTGGCATTTTACAAGGGGTCAACGTGAGAATAAAGTTTTTGTGCAACGTTTTTGTGGTTGTGTCGGGAATTAAATCCGTCCCTTCCGCATCTAAAAGCCCCCCACACACTATCGAACATGCCACCCGTCCTGACAACCTGACCTGACGACGGACCCATCATCCAACCTGACTTATGTCGGGTGTTTCCCACACACTGTCGAGCATGTTACCCAACAAGTCAGGTGAAATATTAGTTCTGAGATGGATTTCGAGACGACTGTAGCTGTTTGTGGGGGGATTTTTAGCGATAAATTTAGGGATTTTTAGAGCCTACGTAACGAGGCTCTTAAATTTTCAATTTTATTTTTAACAAACTTTAAATCACACTCTGGATACAGTTCCTTGCACTTTTCCATCAGGATATCGTGCCCCTCTTTACGCGCATGTTTGTTGCAATAGAGATTACTTTTGGCATCCCCCAACGCCTTCTGGTCTCTGTAGAGTTAAATAAATTCTGACCAGAAACTGTTTATTATCATTAAATGACATTATGAAAAAATGGGACGGTTATCACGCACAACTCGCTAAATACAAGTCAACTGGAAACTGTGGCTAGTCGGGCAAGCAGTTCGACGAATTCCCACCCACGGTCCAACATGTCAGGAGGACGGCTCGAGTCGGGTGGTGCTACCGGACCGAGCATCCGACCTGACATATCCGTCGAGCATGTCGGGTTGGAACCTACACACTGTCCAATATGTTCGACAAGACGTTGGATCCCGACATGTCCGTTCAACATGTTGGATAGTGTATGGGGGGCTTTAGTCTGAGACACTACCACTTTGTTGTTGTTTTGTGGCTAGCAACATCCTATTGGGTTGTGTTCTTAAATATGATATCAGGTGATCTAAATATGAATACTATTTAATATTGTAAGTTTTGAAATTTGCTACGGTAATCATTGAATTACATTACTGTAATTACAAATTCCTAACGCTGAACTCAGATAAATTAATATTCAACTACCTTTCAAACTTTGACTATTGAAACAACTTCTTTTCTTTATCCAATACCCAATTCAAGTTTTCAATCATCTGGGTTAAAATGAATTATAACATTAAATGCCGAAAAATTAAATAAGAAGAAGAATGCAGCCAAACGTCGAACGCCAGCATCGAACACTGCCGTTGCCATATATGGCTGAAAGCGTCCGTTGTCTGCCAATCTTCCCTACTTTTCATAACGTACAAAAGCATAGTCAGACTTGAACGATCCCAAGTTTAAGGTTAGACTTTGTAATTAGTCCTTTTGTTCGCTACAAGTGTAAAGACTACAACGAATTTAAATTTGGTAAAACGATTTAATTCCCTTTAAATATGAATACTCATAAGGTTAATATGGGGAACTACAGAGCCACTGGGGCAGAGCCCGAAAGGATTTTTGGGATACTTACTTTCCGTGTCCGGAAATCAGTCTTCGCTTTTCCAAAAATTAGCTACGATATGGCTTTGTCATTCGCTTGTAAAAGATCATCTAATGTGCAAGTCTGGTCTAGGCGTGGACAGATCAGCAGATGGCCAGGATCCTGAACAGCACACGCGC